TTTGCCGCTGAGCTAAATCCCCAGCCCTACATTTATATTTTGGATTATTTCAAAGTTCTTTCTGTGCTTCTGCATCAGACTCTTTATGGAAATTTATATTTTTGCTTTGGAGACCTTATGGTTCATTGGAAGAGAATAAAAAGACAATAAAATGACCAAGCAAGTCTTAGACTATGAGAAAATATTTACAAGACATGTGCAACAAAGTATTGTTATTTGAAATATACAAAGAGATCTTAACAGAAAACAAAAATCACTTGATGAAAAAATGGGTAAAAGATTTAAAGACACCTCACCAAGGAGGATTGACAGATGGCAAATAAACATATGGAAAGATGCTTAATATAATAAGTCAATTAAGGACTTGCAAATTAAACAACCTATAAACCTATTAGAAAGGCAAAATTCAAAATGTTAACACTTACTATAAATGCTCATAAAGATACAGAGCAACAAGAACTGTTGCTGGGGTGAATCTAACTAGTACAACCAGTGTGACAGGCAGCTTCAGACAGCTTCTTAAAAACCGAAACGTACTGTAACTCTATGATCCATCAGTTGTACTCCTTGATATCTATCTGAATTTGTTGAAAACCTATGTCCACCCAAAAACCTGTGTACAGACATTTAGCCGCTTTATTCATAATTGCCAAAACTTGGAAGCAACCAAGGTGTTCTTCAATGCGGGAATGCAGAAATAAACTTGTATATACAGACAACAGAATATTGTTCACCACTAAAGAAATATGAGGTAACAAGTTCTGAAAAGACAATGAGGAAACTGACATGCATAGCAATAATGAAAGAAGCCAATCTAAAAAGGGTTCACTCTGTGTAATTCCAACAGCATGACATTGTGGAAAAGAGCAAAAGTGTGGTTTCACTATAAAGATCAGTGCTTGACAAGAGTTAGTGGACAACAAAGGGTGAATAGACAGAAGCAGGGCGGGATTTTTAAGGCAGTGAAACCATTCTGTATAATATTTTAAGGGTATGTACACATCATTATATATTTGTCAAAACTCCAAAGAGTGTACAACACCAAAAGTGATCTTTAATACAAAGTATCAGTTTGGGGTGATAACAGTGAATGTCGTTACAACAAATGTACATTCTGGTGGAAGATACTGGTATCTAGGAAGTTGTGGGTGTTTGGAGACAGTATTTTGGAACTCTACTTTCTGTTCAACTTTTTTTTAATGAAAACTGCTCTAGAAACCTTGCAATAAGCCCCCTTGTCTCTGGGCTACAGTGCTTTTTATAACCTTTCTCTCATTGGATGTGATAGCCCAGAGCCCAGGGCACTTAATTCAGCCTGGGAAAGTTTGGGAAATCTTTCACAGGAGCTCTCAGGCTGCAGTTTGAAAGGCAGGTAGAATTTTACCAGGAGAACTAAAGCCAAAAGAGAGGGAAGGGGGAGAATGAAAGCTTGAGGCGGAGTGCATCAGTGACCTACACTGTGACTGGCTTGTAATTCTAACTGAAACTCGAAAATGTATAGTTAGCCAGCTGTGGTGGTGCACGTCTGTAATCTCAACACTTGGGATGATGAGACAGGAGGATTGCTGTGAGTTCAAGGCCAGCCTGCCTCGAACTTCATATTTAACTCTAGTCCAGATTGAACTGCACAGCAAGACCCTGTTTCAAAAAACAAACAAACAAAAAAAAAGTCTTTATACTTGATAGAAGAGAGGGCATTAGACTAGTGGGCAAGTTGGGGATGTTTCATAGCCATTTTAGACATGCTTATGTTAGAAGTTTATCTCTAGACCAAACTTGTTTGTGATGAGTACTAATGCTAACATTTATTGTGTATTTACTTTGTTGATTTTGGTTCGGGTTATCACATGTAATGTTTATAATACTCCTTGGTGTTGGAGGTTATTATCTCAATTTAACACTGATGCAAGGAGGAGTTGAGTAGCTACCTAGGTTCATAAAAGTAACCAGTGGTAGAGTTGAGTTTTGTGATATAAAAGCTCAGAGGGATTGTACAAGCAAAACATGCAGAAAGGGAAAAACAACACTAATCTGATGATGTTACCATTTTTTTTTGTTGTTGTTTTGTTTTTCCAGGCCTGAGAGCAACGAAATAGACCAGTAGCTGCAATCAACTGTAGTCCTGTCACACCTTCATGATGTTTCCCTTGGCCAAATATGCACTACTCAATATTCGCAGGAGTGGAACCATTCAGCGAATTGCATCAGGACAGACCCATATGAAGCACTCACCAAATTTTCATGACAAATATGGCAACACTGTGCTAGCTAGTGGCACCATTTTCTGTGTTGTTACCTGGGTAGTTTTTACTACGCAGATGGGAATAAAGTGGAACCCATCTCCTGTTGGCCGAGTTATCCCAAAAGAGTGGAAAGAAAAGTAATTACCACTGTTACTATAATACAGAATTGTTTCAAACCTAGCTTGCTATGTACACATTCTACTGTTCATTTAAAAGTAGCACAACCGAAGAAATAAAATATGTTTGTAACCATAAAATGTTTTTGTGTACTCACTGTAGTGCCTGAAAGCAATGCTGTAGTAGTGGATATCGATTACGGGGGATTACGAAGGACAAATACTTTTAGAATTAATAAAGTCTGGTTTATGGCTTATCTTAAGTATACATCAGTGGATATGGGTATATATATATATACCTTATGAATTAAGTTAATTTACTGACAAAGGTGCCCGAATATTCTTGTTAAATATTTTCTGGAGCTGACCATTTTTCACATCCTTCCTTCTTCACCCTGGTCTGAACCATTCGCTACAGCTCATTACTGGAGTTATTACACAAATTTTGTAAATAACGTCTTAATTCTTTATCTGCTGTCCCCCAGGCATGCACACCACACACCTAACCCCACAGCCTTTGGCAGCACAGCATCTAGAGTGATCACTTTAAAACACCGTATAGTGGTGCTCCTTCCCTCTTCAAAACCCGGTGACTCTCCATTTCTTTCCAGAGTTAAAGCTGAAGTTCATAGAAAGGTACAAGATCCTTGTAGATGCTACACTGCCTGGTTTTTACCTCCCGCATCAAGATGGTTCCACTGGCACTTCCTCGTGTGTGGGATGCACTTCTCCAGTTTTTGTATGACTCACAGCCTCACACTTTCCTGGGTTTTGTTCATAAGAAATCTTTTCAGAGAGGCCTTTTTTTTTTTCTGGTATGGAGAATCAAACTCAGGACCTTGTACTTGCCAGGCAGGCGCTGTGCCGCTGAGCTGTCTCCCTATCAGCAAAGGCCTTTGACCACCACTTTTGTTTTTTTTAATTGCTACCTCTCTTTTGAACTGGCTTTTTCTATTTTATTTCTTCATCTTACTTTTCTTGGTGCTTATCATCACCTGACATTAGATATATTATATTTATTTACTGTTTTGTGTGTAATCTGTATAAAAGCACAGGTTTAGGGGGGATGCTTTGCATGATTTTGTCTTTTTATTTTAAGGATAAAAAACTAACAAAACAACTATTAGGGCAAAATCAAAAGAACACAAAAACGATCCATGACCTCAAAACAAAATGATAGGAATTAACAATGGTTGCTATATTACATACTGTTATTTTCAACAAAGTTACTCAGTCCACCAGATGTAAGAAGGTAACATAGATCAATCAAAGACAGTAACAAGTAATTAAAAAAATAACATTGGAAATGATGCAGAGCTTCACCATACAAGATGGTAGGAGTTCTTCAACAATGGTTCTTATACTGCATATTGTTTTCATATCAGTCGTTCTGACTACCAGACTCAAGCATGCAAAATTGGTCAAGAAAAAGAAATTAAGCATTGACTGTTCCTTTCAATAAACCTCAGACATCAGCAGTACACCTATCCCAGCTATCCTTGTATATACATATAAATTTTGTTTTTTGTTTTAAAGAGAAAAGAAAAACCAATGTCTTTTGAGCAGGCCCTGATGTATTAGACTTTATATTAGGTTGAATGAATGAATGATTAGTTGATGTTAGGTATTTCAGAGTCCTTATGGATCTGAAAATATGAATTTGTTTACTACTGTGAGTTGCAGTGGTTATCAGAAAGCATAGTATATGTTACCACTGTACAAATTACCCAAAACTCAGGGGCTTAAAAACTCTATAAACTGAGTTTTTGTGCATCAGGAATCTGAGTCTGACTTGGCCGCTTGCCTCTAGTGTTGGATTTCATATTTCTACAGTGTGAGACAGGGCTACAGTCATGTTAAGGCACAACCAGGGCGGGATCTGCAGCCAGGCTCATTCATATGGTTGCTGGCTGGCCTCAGGGCTTTGTTGGGTGTTGGCTGATATGTCAGATTTTTGTCATGTGGGTCTCTCCATAGAGAAGCTTATTCCTGTGATAGAGAAGATTCCCAGGCCAGAAGCCACACTTTGTAACCTAATCTCATAAGTGACATTTTTTTTTAACCTCTATCATAATCTGCTCACTGGAAATAAGCACAGGCCCATGGGCAAGGGGCAGAGAATATACAAGGGCATGATTACCTGATGGTAGAAATCACTGGGAAAGAGAAGGGCTGTATACCTCAGTGGCAACAGATGCTTTTCCTTTCACTGGGTGACCAACTTCAAAGTGTCTGTTCCTCAGGCTCAAATATATATTTAATATCATTTTTCTCTAGAAAAAGGATATTACATGTGCCCATTACCATGTTGCCATTTAAGAATTTTTCTGATGTTTTTCCTTCATGTGAAATTGGTAGGTTTTAGGAAATGCCCGTATCATGTTTTGCCAATATTTAAATATCCTTCCCCAAAGTGCTTAGTTTTGTCAGAAATTCTATTATTTGCTCTTTTGGTAAGTATGAAATAGTAGCTCATATTTTTGTTTGTTTGTTTTTTTCTGGTACAAGGAATCGAACTCATGACGTTGCACTTGCCAGGCAGGTGCTGTGCCACTGGACTAATCCTCAGCCCCAAGTATGAAATAGTAGCTCATATTTTAATGTGCATTTTTTCTGATCATTGATGAGCTTGGGCATCCCGTACTTAACTTTCTGGGGTTTTTTCCTATTATATAAATTTTCTGTGTGTTCAGGGGTTTTTCTTTTTTTACCACTTTTTAGTCATTTATGGAAATGTTTTGTATATTCTGCATGCTGATTGCATCTGTCAGGGTTTCAATGGAGTGGCAGAGCCTACACTAGTATTAGCGAATATGGAAGAAATTGTGAGAATTAGGGTGACAGCAACTATGATAGGTGGTGGAGAAACCTTTACAAGGCAATTGCTTCTGTGTCTGGTATTAAACAGTCTTGGTAGAGGAAAGCTGCGTGTGAAGGAGGGAAGAACTAGGGACAACTAGAATGGGAACCAATACACTGAAATCGGGACTTCAAATTGGAACATGAATCTGTCACTATCTCTAAGGTACTGCAAGGGCCTTCAGAGAAAATTTGTGCCCCATCACTATGGAACTACATATCACTTGGCTCAGAGTCAAAAATGGTGAAGGAAAACTGATGGGAATTTGAATAGATAATGGCCCAGGTACAATTGAAAGCACGCCAGAAGTTCCACAGCAAGTTATACAAGCTATCAAAGTGCTCTGTGCTCTACACCAACTTTCTAAGTATAATATGTTTGGTGTTTCATGCCTGCTTTCCCTAGTGAATATCATGCACTTTTTTTCTTATGACCAACTATAACCTGAAACCATAAATACTGGTGCTATGTTAGAATGTGAAGTATTCCCTCAAAGTCAGTCCATATGTTAAAAGTTTTATTTCCAGGGTGGTCATACTGGTAGATGGTCAGACTTTTAACAGATGAGAGCTAGAGCGAGAACCTTAAAACATCAGTGGCATACTCTTGGAAGGAACTGTGTGATGTCAGTGTCTCTCAGAACTTCTACACTAACCTGCCATCTGCTGCCTTCACCAGAGAGAGAGGCCAAACCAATTCAATTGCCTGATCTTAAATTCCCAAACTATGAGCTAAGTAAAACTTTTCTCTTTATAGTTAGTGGACTCAGATGTTTTGTTATGGTGATGGCAAAGCGATCTAATATAACTGGAAAAAGTAGTTCGAGATGACCTAAATTGGAACTTAGAAAGCTACTCTTTTCTACCCTGTGTCAACCTGACTTCAGCTTTCTTTATCATATTTACATTTTTAATGAAGACACTAAGAAAATATTCTTCCACCTAAAACTAGGGAACTTTCCTTCATAAAACTAAAAGCATCCTAGCTGTCTTCCCAAAAGGGCACAAAGTCCTCTCAGGTGGCAATCTCAACCTCCTTCAGTAGTACCATTGCTGTGATCCCTAATGGAAGCCTAAAACTTCCTGACTAGAAAAGCCTAAGTTTCTGGGGACATGCAACAAACTTTTCTCTAGTGGATCATTGTGGGTAATTGTGAGAGGAACCTTTTCATATTTTGTTCTTGATTTTCAAATCTATAAACCTTAACTCTGACAATTTGTTCCTTATTTAAAGCATGTCCAACATCCTGGAAGCCGTTAAGCTGTTACACTTCAAAAAGCCACTGCGCCATTCTACCAGTGATAAGAAACATGGGGAGACCAGTAACTCTTATAGTACGAATCATTGTGGTACTCATTTGCTGTGCAGTGTTGGTCAAAATCAGGACAAGGGGTAAACCATGATGCTGAATAAGGTATTTTGCAAGTGCATGAATGACACTGTTCACACATTTATAGGAAGAGAAAGTAAATCTATGTATGTAATGTGTATTCAAGTAAGAACAAAGTACTGCGTATTGCATGATGGAAATGATTCAATGGAACCAATCTGGCACTGTCGGCTGGAAGATCTTTCCCCCAAAGGATGGTGCCAAGTGAGGATATTGGTCTGTCCATTTAACAATTTGGGCATTCAACAGTGACTAGCTAAACTACCTCTGATGAGTGGTTTACTGCAGAGCACACACATGGCCTCCATCCTTTCTGCCATGGCCACTCTGTGTCTGAGTCATTGTGAAAGCACAAGTTAGATGGGAAAAACTCTGACAGCCATAGGATAGGTCATTTTTTTCCACCTCACTGTTAAGATACTCCTCTGCTGAATATTCATTTAGTGAGAATTTATATGAGATATGAATATCTTCCACTACACTCATTTGTAGAAATCTATTCACACAATCCATCTCAGACTTTTCGTTATCAATTTTCTAGTATTGTTCCTTCTAATTCGTGACTTTTCCTGTCAAGCCATTGGCTGATACCCATGGCTCAGTATGGAACTGTACCTGTGGCCATCTGCTCATCCAGGGCAAGTGACAGTTTTTTATACTACTTAATGTGTTATTTCTCAAAAAATTTTCCTTTTCCTTAAGGGCACACTTGAAATTAAACTGAAATCATCCATTGTCAGATATAGCCAGCATATTTTGCAGAACCAGATCTAGGGTTATTTTTCTTGGGAAGCTGGTGTTAAGAAGCTCTCTCTGGGGTCATAGTTTAATATTCCTATAAAACCTAGGTTCAGGCTGACGTGAAACTTACCCAAATATACAACTTAGAAA